CAGAAGCCACAGCAGCAAGCTAGATAGTGAGGCTGTGGCACTATGCTACTTGGTAGGGGGGGGCTAATGAACTTGCATTCATATAGAAGACAACAAGGCTGATTTTCTATCCGCCATCAAAATGCAATTCTTACGGTACCTAATCTGAAAAGAAAAAAATTCCGTTCGTACTACAAATGTAGTTAGTGCGTAAACACGGACATTTTGAAACATCATTATATAGGTAATACCACCGTTTTTTACAATCATTTCTGAAGTACAAATACTTTGGACATATCAATATCAATGCGGGTCATTCAAGAGAATGCATTATTTTATCAACGAACTCGAGTGGTGACAAAATCTTATTTTTTTTTTCTCTAAACAAAGTACACACTTGGGAGCGATTCTTCAACAGAAAAATTTCTCTGTCTGGTTTGCTTTTTGAATCTATCAAAACAAACAATTTATTTCTTTATGATTAATTGAGTTTTATTTTTCGCACTGGTGAAGCAAATCTGTTGGCCGAAACACATAACTCATGGACATATTATGATACTTCAGTACCAAAATAATAGTAATAATGTTGGTACTTATAACAGGAACGATTGGAACTGTATATTTGAGAGTGGATGTGCAGGTGGTGCAATGGATAGCGGCACGGAATTAGAAAACAGGGAAAAGTAAGTTTCCTTACATTTACTTACGCGAAAATACCCATAAAAAATGTATGAATCATCACCTCCACCAGCTATGGATCAAATAGTTGGACGTATCTGGAAGAAGAAAAAAACCTTATTCTAAAAAATGTTAAGGCAATATTCACTGGTAAAAATAATTGTGTTTTTGATTTAAATGACCCGGAAAGGGTTGATAAACCGTAAAAAAATAAATCAAACATGTCATGAAACTATAATTAAAAATTGTCATCGTGGTAACCAGTATTGTTTAGGGGGAAAATTTACAGCGAATATTGTTCGGGCAAGTACCCTTTTAGCATACTTGCTGTTGTTAATATAAAGTTTCGCTGATATTTTTTCGCTGATATTCTCCCTGGCCTTTCAGGACATGAAAGATCATAACTGTAGACAACTCCCTATCATTTGTAGCTCTCATCAATGTTTGTCCGCTTATTATCTTATCTCTTCGAAACTCTGTTCTCCAGAACATTTACACAAGCTCCTTAAGTCGATTACTTGATGATTCTCCCCACCCCACTTGCCGTCAACATATCTAGTGGGTGTCAAATTCTCCAAACCCTCTTTCCTCATTCTGTGCTCGAAAAAAATCCAACTATCTCTTTCTGATTCGGTCATTTTTGTTCCTATTTCCCTTAAAAATTCCTTGTCGGTCACTTATTCAGTTCAATGTATTCTCAGCATCCTTCTGTAGAACCATATATCTGTGAATATCAAATATCCTCTGTAGGAGAAATAATTATCTAGTATTCACTGACAAGAAGGATATATGTATTATGTCGAATTTCATTACATTTTTGTTTGTTTCTAACAAAGACTTACTTTTTTTAAGAATTTGTTTAGATTTTGAAAATCATTTTTTCTATTCCAATGCGCTTTCATGGTTGAGTATCATATTTTCTATCGTCTGTTGAAACACTTGCGAGATAGATTTAGGTACTTGTTTTATTTGGGCACCCTCAGTTCGGAATTTTCCTTTTTTTTGACTTCACACACACTACACCAGACGAAAGCAAAAAATTCTATATTCGGTAAGTCCCCCAAATACTCTAAGAAAGGATTCGTTTTTCCAAATAATATTGGCTATAATTAAAACGAATCCATATCTCGATAGATAAACTTTCCCGAATCTAATCACTGGAAGTAATAAAAAAAAAGAGGAAAACATGTCTATAATGTACAAATACTTTTTTTTTATAAACAAGAATATAAAATATGTATTTATTTCTTCATTTATATCCCTTATTTCAGATGCAGCTGACAATGTTTACAAGAAAGTCAGTTCGGTGCAGAATGGTTTATATTTAAGCAAGCTAATCTTGTTTGCTCGTGAACACGATAACACTTGTGTTGAAAGTAAAAAGAAAAAAAATGACTTTTAAATAAGTTTCATTTGCATGATGTAAAAGAACATAATGCATTCTTTAGAATCAAGATAAAATTATAAAAGACAAATTTCTATTTCTTCAAGTCATTTTGATAACAAACAGAGCGGATGGGTCATCTGGTGCTGTCAATCGTTCTCGCAGGTCATAAAAAAAAATTTAATAAAACATTTCTCTAGATTTTTTTTCAGCTTTGATGTATAAAATCATAAAATTCAGTGAAACTTATGCACCTGTTTCGGGCTAAAAATAACAAATTAATTATTTACCTAGAGATATGTTGGTAAATATGGGTTTTATTATTTTGTAAGAATAATGTAATTTACTTTCTTTTTCTCAACAGTATTTTACTAAAACGCTGCTTTATTTCCTGTAATAACTAAAACATTTAATGACAATACTGTTTCCGCAAATAAAAAAATAAGATGCTACTTTTTATTGTTTTCTTTCCAAATAACACCAACTCATTTCAAATTTAACTTCAATATTTTAGCTCCACTTTGTCCATGATTTGAATTCAAGCAGCAGGGCTAGCCTGATCTCTTGACCAAAATATGAAGCCGAAAATTAGCCTGTCTTAAATGTAAGCTTTGTGTTCTTTGATACAGTTAATTTGAAATTTTAATATATTTCTTCCCCCTCCCACTCCTTTCCAGCAGGCCTACTTTCATTAATTTATCCATCCCCGATCGATCCCGGAACTTTCACCAATTGTAATAAACGGATGTTTCTGCAAGGAAGCCATGTGCCTTGAGTGCCTATTGATGCTAGAAAATGGTCGGAATCTCTTTACCATTTCCACCAAGTACCTCACTTATCCTTCTATCATATATCTTTGCAAAAGCCAGATCAGGGCGAAAATAAAATACCTCTGCCATATATAAGCGCGAGCTACATGGTCTGTACTTACCAGTCTCAAAAGAATCCAAGAGCGTCTCCGCGTTCTTGTATTATTTTCCATTCTGCAACGTGTTTCTCACAGACGACACATCACAAGCCTCTCTCTACTCTATTGCGATTTCCATGGAGAGAGTTCAGATGAACTATTTTCTTGAGCATCACCAGTCCTAACCTTCATGAGTAAGAACCGTCATGCTGCGCACACCGTAGCAAAACACCCTCATTCTTTTCATATAGACCTGGTGAGATATAAGTTCCACTCAAGTACTTTCTTCCCTCAAAACCTCTTGATAAGAGGCCTTGACGTCGGACGTATTTTATCGCCTTACCCAGACCCCGGATGTAGTTTATTATCATAAACAGGATGGGGTGTTAATAGGTTTTAAACAGATGTATACATATCTTTGAAGAAACTGTAATTTTAATCCCCAAACCTAAATAAAACTTTCAGTGTCACCGCTTGGCAATTCTCTATTCTTGGTATTGAGTCTCTCTCATTCTATTTATGTGCCGAAGAAATCAACTTAACTTTCAAAAGGCGTCTGTCGATACCATTGCTTCCATGATACAAAGAAAAACAGGGGGAGACTTATTCTGTCGTTTATAAAGGAAAAATCGTTGATGGAATGACCCGGATGTACTGCCTACGTATTAGCGTACCTGCCTTCGGTGGCAGTGTATTAGAGGAGAATGAGAAAACCGACTGATAGGTGAGTTGATTTTCAACAATTTGGACGCACGGCTTTGTGAATTTGTGAGAGTTCGATTTATTTTTCACTACATTTTAACGATTTTTTAATGTCATGTCTCTTCAAGGCGTAAGTGACGATGGTATTCCACAGCAAAGGACTATCATCTTTTTGCCATGGCCTTATTCAGATTTTTTTTCAAGACTGGCTGCTATCCAAGACCCAGTCAGTTTATTTTGTTATTTAACCCCTATGTGAAGAAAAAATAGATTTATGTATTTTCCAAGAGCATTAGCGTGAGATTAATGCAACAGACGAGGATAGAAACTGATTTAGTTTGGTTTGTTTTGCAGCATATCAACCTCAATGCTGACAAGATTTTTAATTCTGGTAATATTTTTTTTCAAAAAGTGAATCACCGTTAATAATTTTTTACGGAATCAACTTCCAAGAGGTTGTCTCCCCGATCAATACAATCTTAACCTGTTCAGTACTAGGGTAAGCCATTTCTCTAAATACCCGCATAAACTGTACCGATAACTCGAGTGAACCCGGGCTTTGTACAGGGTAAGCACCACTGCAAAAAATACGGACATTATTATGAAATGAAAAAAATTGAACTCAGCCAGACGAAAATAGAATTATGGCAGTTTAAATGTGGTAACCATTTCACCACAGAATGTTTGTTAGAAGATAACACACTCCTATATTTCAGGAAATAGTTGCAGAGGTATCCCAAGATTATGTGTCTTCCGGGCAGGCATCAACACATGGAACCTGTCGGCGCCAACAGGTGATGCAAGAATAGAGATTGACAATGACAACAGCAAGTCAACGAAGAGGAATATTGCATCAATTCACATCCCAATTCCACGCGGGTGACAATCAATTAGTCAACTCACTGTACAGTGTAAATTGCATTCGGTGACGTCGATCAATAAGGGTGCCAGTATTTATACCACAGCAAAGGTTACTTCGCCTCATCTGAACCATCCATAACGAACCGTAGAAAGCAGGCGCGATGACTAGTCAAATAATTCCTATGTCCAGCATTTTCAGGTGAATAGTTCAGTTTGTGCATGGATTGAATGATTCATTTTCTAAGGTTTATCAACGCTTTGCATGTTATTTAAAACCATAAAATATTTTTAGAATGTAATTTCCTTTTTTAGATAGTAATGATTTTAGTGATTAAAATCTTTCCGATTAACCCATAGCTGGGGGGGGGAGAAGAGATGGATTCATATCTTTTCTAATGTTATTTGTGCGTAAGTGAATTTAACGAACCCAAGCGGCTCTCCAATTAACAATTCGAAGCTATGGCCCATTACATCAACCGTACACGCAAGCTTACAACACCTGGTATTCCCAAGTGGTCACACATCTTGTTACTGACCACACTCGACGTTCTTTAAATTCGCTGATCGTACGGGAACCGGTATTTCAACATTATGTGGCCGTAAATCATTTTGTGTGGGGGGGGCACAGCGCGTTAGGCTATTGAATCAGCATTTCAGCAGAGTGTTTTAAAAGCCCTTCGTTATAATAATAGTATATGGCATCTTCAGCTGGAATGTGCCGCATGGTACTAATATGCTCTACTGTTCTACAAAATACTATTGGCCCACACGCTTGCTTGGTTTGAGCGCAATTAAGTATATACGTTGCATAAATCACTAAATTCCTTGAAACCACACCCAACAAAAACAATTCAATTATGGACAAACATGGAACATATCTGGACAAACATAGCCACTCAACGAATCTTGACCTTCGTAGACGCTATACCATGAGGCGTGGCCTCCGTTATTAAATACCTATCTATTTTTTGTCAATAAAACTTATTTTTATGACATGTCCCTTCTGAATGTAGATGGTCATCACTCTCTACAGCTTCCTCTCCTTTATTATCTGTAAATTGTCATGATACCTTGAGAAAGACATTGGAGTAATTTGCCGTTACCTTCTGCATAGTTTGGACTTTAGAGGTTTTTTTCTCATACTGTTTGTCACCAAACTAAAGATAAATCTAGCCTGCTATATTATCCATAGCTGAGGTATCTAAAGTTATTAAACTAATAATTACCCACCGTCTCATTTTAGGACAGTTGGCCTTATTGGATTTTAGATAGAAAACTATAATTAATATTGAATTTTATAAACCTAAAATTAAAATCGGAATGTTTTTTGAGAAAGCTATAATTAATACTATATTATTATACTTATACGTATTTTGCGATGGGTATTAATAGGTTAGGTTTGGTTTGTTTTGTTTTACGTCATATCAACCTAAATGGGTTATTTAATGTCTACAGTTATTATTGCTGGTAATATTTTTTCCGTCAAACATCTATTTCTGGTACTATTTTTTTCCAAAAATGTATTGCTGGTGAGTTTTTTTTCAAAAATGTATTGCCGGCAATAATTTTTTTTCCGAAGTATTTCTGGTATTAAAACCTATTTTTACACTTTCATACTATTTTGACCCCAGTTTGGGGCTGAACTATTTTCCCGTAGCTGGAACCCTAACAGGTCCTACAACCCCGGTTCAGGGTGGACCTGGGAGCACCAGTAATTAAGAAGTGGTTCCACGCTTCTCAAAACCACCTGATTGGGCGTATTTTATCGTCTTACCCAGACCCCGGATGTAGTTTATCCTCATACCCAGGACGGATTGTTAATAGGTTTTAAACAGATGTATATATCTTTAAAGAAAGTGTAATTTTAATCCCAAAACCTAAATAAAACTTTCCGTGTCACCGCTTGGCAAATCTTGGTAACGAGTCTCTCACATTCTATTTATGTGCCGAAGAAATCTACGTAACTTTGAAAAGGCGTCTGTCGATACGATTGGTTCCACGATACAAAGGAAAACAGAGGGAGACTGATTCCGTCGTTTATAAAAGCAAAATGGCTGTTGGAATGATCCGGATGGACTGCCTATGTATTAGTGTACCTGCCTTAGGAACAAGAGGAGAATGAGAAAGCCGACTGATAGGTGAGTTGATTTTCAACAATTTGGACGCACGGCTTTGTGAATTTGTGAGAGTTCGATTTATTTTTCACTACATTTTAACGATTTTTTAATGTCATGTCTCTTCAAGGCGTAAGTGACGATGGTATTCCACAGCAAAGGAATATCATTTTTTTGCCATGGCCTTATTCAGATTTTTTTTTCAAGACTGGCTGCTATCCAAGGCCCAGTTAGTCTACTTTGTTATTTAACCCCTATGTGAAGAAAAAATAGATTTATGTATTTTCCAAGGGCATTAGCGCGTAATGAATGCAACAGACGAGGATACAAATTGATTTCGTTTGGTTTGGTTTGTTTTACGGCATATCAACCCCAATAAGTTATTTAATGCCGACAAGATTTTTATTGCTGCTAATATATTTTTCAAAAAGTGAATCGCTTTTAATAATTTTTTATTCAAGAATTTATTGCTGGTAATAATCTTTTACAATAATATATTGCTAGTATTAAATCCTATTTTTACACTTTCATAGTTTGACCCTAGTTTGGGGGTCAACTATTTGCCAATAGCTGGGACCTTAACAGGTTCTACCACTCTGGATCAGGGCGGACCTGGAAACACCTGCAAATAAGAGGTGATTCAACGCTACTCAAAACTTCCGGATCAAAGGCCTTGTTGTTGGATATAGTTTATTGCCATACCAAGCACGCGGATGTAGTTTATTGTCATACCAGAAATGGAATAGAAATTGAACTATCTTCGTTGATTTTACTTTCCATTTCGCTAACTATTACGCTTTCCTATATATAATTAAAGAAGTAGAATGAGTGACTGCGATTTTGCATGTATTTGAAATTCAGTTTGTTTAGAAGTACGGTGATTAAAATAGTGACGGCAATCTCCTGCATTAAAAACAATTAGAAGCAAACAATTCAGTTTGATTCGATTTTGGGTAAATATAGGTCCTCATATAACAATATGCCATCAATGCGTGTGATACATTGATTGACGAGGTGAAACAAAAATAACTCTTTTTATCTATAATTTTAAATTAGGAAAAATATATCGAAATCGAACTTTTTAGCAAATAAATTGCATGAGCAATTATATTCAAAGTTAGAAAGTTAAGCGTCAATTGAATTGTTTAAGAAATTTCTTTTTGTACATATTTTGATTCGGACATTCCATTATTAAAGTTTCTGAAAAGACAAAAACAAGAAAGCTGAAGATGATTGTCTTTTCTACCTGTGGGCGTTTAACACAATCAATTTCCTCGTTATTTATTTTTCAAAGGGAGAATTGTGTAGTCATGTGTCTGAGTTAAAAGGAAAAAACAAACACAGGATTTTATATTCATTTGTCATGCGTGCTTGCATTTATATATACACAGTTTTTTATGTGTTTCTGGGTACGGCCATCCATGTTCGTTTTATATGTTTATCAACATGGATGCAAGCAAATATCCACGCTGGAAACGTATTTCTGAACACAAACGTATACGCGCAGAGGCATACGTTTAAAAATGACAAACTTCCTTTCATCATTTCGTTTGTCCTATTATGACTTGCCTAAGTATTCCTGTTTTTATGTTTTCTTTTACTTTAGGTCTTTTCAACTATCCTACAATACCTGTACTTTAAATAATGGAGTCCGTTAAAAAAAACTGTATGATATTTTCTCAGTACTTGTAAAAATAATTTTGTAAGCAGCAATATTTATCACATTTGTGTATTAGACATACAGACGCACACACACACACACACACACACACACACACACACACACACATATATATATATATATATATTGATAATAAGGAGAGTTTAATTATTAATTTTCTTTATAATTTTTATTTCGTGAAGATCGAGATGTTCATCTCATCAGAAGGAAAACCTTTTCGATCCGATAAATTGAACATATCTGTGTTCACGAAATAAAAATTATAAACGAAATGGATAATTAAAGTTTTCGTCTTCTTATTATCATCATAATGTATTCATTGAGCACTCCTGGATTTATATCCTCCTCGGAATTATCCCTTCTAGTCATAAAATGGTAAAACCATAAATATATATATATATATATATATATATATATATATATATATATATATATATATATATATATATATATATATATATATAAAAAAAAGAAAGAACAGTAAGATATAAAATCCGGTGTTCTTATAGATATTTTATTTTTACAAAATAGTGCTCAATGTAAATTTACAGAGCATTAATATTATAAATTAATTGATTTAAAATATGGTTATTTTCGCTACACAGTTCCAACCATGTGAAAAAATTTAAAACATTTAATTTTGCCGAACCTAATTTGAAATGGAACTAATGCTTTTAATTAATTTAAAAATAAAATTAGGGGTTTTATTTCTATTTTGAAACATGGTTGGAACTGTGTAGCGAAAATAACCATATTTTAAATCAATTAATTTATAATATATATATATATATATATTGTTATGGTCCAGGTTAGTACCAAGGAAGAACAACATGAACACAAGAGTGGAAATAACGAAGGTATATTACACGAAATAATAGTACAAGATGTGGAAGGTGTAAGTATGACCGCCAGTCTGGTTTGGAGTGAACTACTATCGGCTCGACTCGATTCGTCCCTCTCTCTTGAGAGGCGTAGTATACATAGTGTTAGGAAGAGTTTATTCTGTAGTTATAGGTAAGGACCCATGACACACACACACACACACACACACACACACACACACGCATATATATATATATATATATATATATATATATATATATATATAAATGCTAAAATATAGTTTTAAGGTATGCTATATTTATTGGTTAAAGTGCTCAACATCAGGGGTAGAGCGTTTACTGCGTTTGAAAGCTTTGACTGTGCAGAGACTTACGAACTCATATGTATATATTTACTACATGTACTAAGTAAAATGGACGATAGAAATGATACAGGACTCTACAGTGACGACAGTTTCATACTATTATGAAACTGTGACAAACAAAACACAGACAAAACTAGAAAAACAATAACAAAAGCTTAAAAATATCGGATATGACAAAGACACAAAAAGTCACCTAAACGAAGTATATTTTTCGATGTCACCTTATATCTAAGAAAAGCTACATATGAACCATAAAGAAAACCCAGTGATAAACTACTGTATATACATTCATCTTCCAGCCACCCGCCATCAATGATCAAGCAGATACCAGAGTCAATTAAACGTAGGCTTTCCGACAATTCTTTCAATGAAACCATAATCAACGAAGCTAATAAAGACTATGAAACAGGCCTAAAAGATAATGAATTACCGGCAACACTCACATACACACCACACTGCACAAAAAAGAACAGGAAGAGAAACATAATATGCTTCAAAAACGTAAAAACAAGCGTAGGAAAAATATTCATTAAACCTATACACAAACACTTCACTGCATGAAGCATTTTCGACAAGGTAATCAACAAAAACACAGTCGA